AAAATTCACACAAATACAAATAGAATGTGAATAGTTATACTCAACACTGTTATCTACCTTGATGTAATTTATTGCATAAAACGTAATCTAGCTAATAAAAATTCCATGAAAAAGGTAAAATTGTTTCATGTCTAGTTGGCAAAAGGCTATTAAGTCTGAAAGAGGTTGAACTGGTGGGGAACTGGGCTTAAACCTGAGTCTCGCTCCTTTATCTTTGTCAGCAGCTCTACTCCCCTTTGGTAACATTCTGAAACCTAATCCCAAAAATAAAAACAAAGCGAGTAGGAGGCCTGTAACAATATTTGTGGTTGTCTCAGACACACTTCTGGAACATTCAAATGCACAGATCATTTATTGAGTCCTCACGCAGCAGTACTTTTTAAGTTCTCATCTTCCCACTTACTTAGCCTTCAACGCCAACACTAAAGCCAAGGGAGTCTAAGTACTAACTTTTCCCGACCCAACAGCCAAAGCGTTAAGAATCCGTTTCCTCCTCCAAGCGAAACGGTTTACAACCGGGTTGACAACCAACGAAATTAGGAGTTCCGAGTGAGACCCACCCCCCCCCAACTGTCGCTTATACCTGGCGCCCAGCGACCCAAGGATTTATATATACTCCTCACACAATGACGCAGAAATGCCGGGGCCCCAGAAGAGGTTGGCGGGAATGGGGGCCTCGGCCGAGGAACAAAGGGTCTGGTAGCGGCCTCAGTGCAGGGAGGAGGTTAAGGAGAGTGAGAGGCAAGGGGCAGGGCACTGAGCTGGCCAGAGTGCCCCGGCGCCGTGGGGGCCGAGAGCCTGGGAAGGAGCCCACGGGCCGGCGAAGCCAGGCCGCGCTCCCCAAACACTGGTAGAAGCGGACCAGCCGCGGCTTTCCGAGGTGAAAACCAGAATGGCCGGAATCACCTGCGCGGGGCGTGCTCTCTCGAAATCAGCACCTGGCCCACAGCAGCTCCATCCGCCCCCAAGGGGAACTTCCGCCCAAGGGGAACTTCCGCCCACAGCGAACTTCCGGTCGGTGCGCGGCAGCAAGCGGCGCC